AACAACATTCATAAAACATGCAGTTTAATTCACAATTTTTCAATTCTCTATTCCGTGCGCATTTTTTATTCATTGATGAAGTATTTTTAGTTTGTAATTTCCTCCCCTTCTTCGCTTGTGACATGTTTGTCATGTGTGACTAGATTTTCCGTAGCCTGATTCATCTCCTTTTGCCAGAAGAATTGGCCTCTTTCAAGCTCAACAACCAATGAGTCATGATGATGACTTGCCTTTTCAATTCATCATCATCATCTCCGCACATCGCTACGTACAAAAGTACATACTAATGGGGACCTGAACTAAAGGTTTTTTTTTTTCTTTAACGATCATTTGTGTATCGAAGTCTTCACTCAAAATTTGGATTAACCGAATCACAAATATCAGTATCGGGAATTCAAATTAAAAAGCAAAATAAAGAAAAATTAGTCCAAATGTTTTGTGTTTTTGTTCCTTTGTTACTGCTCAATGTTGGGAACTACAAGTAACTATGAAGTTTTGGGGTTTTTTGTTTTTTTTTTCACTATTTGAATAAAAAAAAAAATGGCATTTAAAATTCAATTCTCCTGATTTTTTTTCATTGGGCCTTATCTTTAGGCAATATTGAATTATTGTTGAAAAAAAAAAAAAAATAAATAAATAAAAATAAAATAAAATAAAAATTATTTTCTTCTTGGCATCCCAACTACCTAAAATCTCAGGTTATTAATTTTGCTATTTAACAACATTACAAATGACTTAAGTCTTAACGCGTTATATTGTGTGTGTACGGTACACTGTCAAAATCGATTTTTTAGAGTAACAATTTGTTCTGCTCACTTTTAGTTTCTCGGTGGACTCAATTTTCACACTCAAACATTATTTTTTTGTTTTGTTTTGTTTATTCGTTAAACGAAGTTTTAGTGTTTTTTTTTATATTCAAAATACTTTCAAACTTTAACAAGACTTCAAATGGATATCAATGACAATGCTGATGCATTTCAATTCAATGTAGGTAGCATGAAAAAAAATCAAAACAAATCTTTTTAAAATGTACGGTAGCGAGCGAATAAAATTAATAGTTAACTTACACTATTAACAACCAAAATAAGAAATTGCTTTATTGAAAGTAAAAAAAATAAGATAAAAAAAGGCTGTCAATTAAAAAATTTCACATATCACCTTTTCAATCTTTTTTTTTTTTTCTAATTCAATAGAGAGCTGTAAAAAACTATTTCTTCTGGTCAAGTTATAAAATTCTAGGCGTGCTTTTTCATATTTTTAACAAAATACGCAAAGAACTGAATCTTCTTAACTTAAATAATGTTTAATTTAAAAAGTAAACAGTTTAAAAAAACATTTTATTTCGCTAAATTCTGAAATTAATGCCACAGAAGTACATTGGAATATTTGCGACTACAAATTGACTAAGCAAATCGATAAAGAGTAAAGACTTTTCTTTCATTGAGTGAACGAGCGAGATGGCAGGGACGTCTTGTAAGTTTTTTTTTTTTTAAAAAAAAAACAATATAACAAAAAAAATACCTCACAGAACAATGTATACCAAATAATTAATGAGAAAACTAATCTCCGATCAAATTCGTTTGTTTTTAAATCAGAATCTAGAATAAAATTTAAAAAAAAAAAAAAAAAAACTCCAAAAACATACTAGTGAAAAAAAATAAAGTTTACGAATTTTTACTGAAAAATTAAGCAGTAACTTTATCCGAAACGGCGAAAACAGCAAATTAATAAAAAATCTAAGAGGAAGATTGACTGCTTAGTGCTTAGTTAGTAGAATCAACCTAGTTTTGAGTTGCTCCTCAAGAGAAATTATTTGGACAAAAAGCAATAACAAGTCTCAACTTGATGTCACTTTTTTTTTTAAGTAACAATACTAAAAACGTGAATTATTTTATTTTGGTTAGTAACTGATAACAGGCGAGGTAAAAAAAAAAGCATTCATTAGAAAATCTTTTGATGAAATAGCTATTCTTATTCCGCAAGTCGAAAAAGGAATATCTTTACTTTATTAAACTGATTTTTTTTTTTTTTAGAAATAAATGATTAAAAATGGCAGAATATCTTCCTTAAAAAAGGGGAGGATCGCCACATTTAAACACGTGTATGAATGAGATCGAAAAATAAATGTAATTCTTTTTTCGTTTTTTGTTTACGTTTTACTTTTTTTTTCATTTTCAAAAGAGCCTCATTGTTTGTTAGAAACATTGTCTGCCTCAAGACAATGGCATACGATACAAAAGCGAATGATATGTCTGTTCAAGGAAAATAATTATTTCCTTCAGTTCCATCCCTTCTCTTGAACAAGTGTGAAAATTTGTAGCTTTCCAATTGTGCATTCGCGGCGATGCTGACAAAGACTTGAAAATCTGATTACATCACAAAATTTAATTCTGCAACATTTTCCTTCACCGCTTAAAAAGGTAGCGAGTGCATGTAGCAGGGTACCGAAGTGAAATGATGCAGTTGATATGACTAGTTAGTAATTCTTTAGCAAAATGGTTTGAAAAATAAATCTGATGTTTCGATAAAAGCTAGAGAAAGCTTTTAGTTTTAGCATAAAACAAATTAAAAAGCGAGTAAAACTGTTTTAAAAACTAAACAAATGGCCCAAAGATCAAAGACAAGCAGCAGCTGAAAGAGTGCAATAAAACCAAAACAAAAAAGCTTTTTATTCGACAAACTTCCGGGAGGGTGTCAATCCCACAAATATACATTCATTTATTTTACACACAACTATATTCTCTTGTCTTCTTTAACCAAGCTTTCCTTACTTTTCCAGCGTTACCAACCTTACAACCATAACGTTAGCAGTCTCCGCCAAGTTGATACAAAGTACACATCACACCATTATATGAAAATAACATCAACAAGAGATATTTGCAAACAAGTATTACTATTAACAGCCGTTTAATAAACAATTTTTAACCAAGCTAATTAAAGAAAAAAAGATTAAGGTTGCTGTGATTCTCATCATAGTCATGATGAGATTATTATTAACGATTGCTTTTCTTTGGAAAAATATCAGTATTTTATTGTAGTTTTCCTCCTCCTCTGCTAGGTCACGACGACGTCGTAGTCACATCCAATTCAACACTCGAAAATAAAGTAACCCACACGCTTAAAAAAGGGATGGTCTTAAAAAACATTGTTAAAAAAAAAAAAAAAATCCTGTCTAGAATATTACAGTCGTAGCAGTTTATGACTAAATTTCATTTTAGCCCCAATTTGCTCGCGTAACTGCTTTCTTTTTTCGGGCATATTTAAAAAGATCCAACCCTATTTGCATTGCTTAATGATGAGATGACTCTAATAAAAACACAGAATTAAAAAAAAAAGAAAAGAGAGAGATGAAGATGCAGCTGCAATGTAGTAGGTGTAGACAAGAAAAAAAAAGACGGTTTTCTGCTTTTAACCCTTCCTGATGTCTGTTTCTCTAAAAATAATAATGAATCAATAGACTTGGGTAATAAAATGAAGGCGACAGCAGAAAAAGGAAAAGATTTTTTTTATTATCATGTTAGCATAAAATTATAATATAGCTAACAAATAAAACTGCGTACAGTTTCTTTAAAAATGATTTACACTACACAGTCACTCAACATATAATGAGGGAAAGTTTATTGAAGAAATCACTTCATAAACCTCCGCCATCGTAAGAGTGTCGAAGATGCAAAAAGTTAACCTGATAATCAGTTCCCAGACGAAAATTTAAAAAAATTAAATAATTAGTTAAAAATTATTTTATTTAGATTTTAGAATAATTATTCTGAAGTTTAAAGTAATGACATATCACAATAATTGAAAAATAACCTGTGTAATGAAAGCGTTAGAAACACCAACAGCCTTTAGAACCCGAAAACGATATTGTGATTATTCCCCATTATGGATATGACTTTTGTGATTATTATTATTATTATAATTAGTTTCGACAAATTATTTTCAAATTTCCATAATTAAAATGCCAGAGTTCAAAAGAGGTGGAATTGAGAGATAAATAAATAAGAAAATCTATAGGATGGCAGTAGGCAAGTTAAAAAAAAAAAAAAAAAAAAGGATGAAGATAAAAAAAGGAATCATTCGCAATAAGTTATAGTCACATAGGAAAATTAAAAAAAATATTAATAACAAAAGATTGTAAATACGATTGAAAATGGACCAAAGTTTTCTTTTTTCCCCAAGAGAGAAAGTAATTAAAATATAACAATTATTTTGATATTAAGATGTTAGAAAAAATTAGATTATTTTTAAATGAAAATTAAATGGAAATATTTTATTTATATTTTTTAGTGAAAAAAATTAAATGACTGAAAGAAAGCGTTTCCGAATTTGAATTTTACCTTCGATCTTTTTATCGACCACTTAATTAATAATCATCATACTACACAGCAATGCGTAGATCGAATTCATTCATCAAAAATTCATGTACAATAAATAAAAATAAAAAAGATTTGATATTAAAATCAAGTGATAATGAAAACCGTTTCTTTCAAGACAAGACTACATAAAAAGAAAGCGGTTTTTTCCTTCTTTTTTTCCTTGTTGTTGTTAGTCTCCCCACTTTCACACCCAAAAACCAAAAACGGAAAAAAAATGTCAAAAGCTTAAAATCTCAAAGCCGTTGAGATGTTTTTTGTTTTTTTTCCATTTTCACAAGTTGAAATAAATAAAGATAGATATAAAAAAATCATTGACGGTATTCCATTAAATGTTTGGTTTGTTGAAAAAAATAACGACAGAACGGAGAAAATAAACAGAAAGTAAAAACAATTTTTCACAAGTCTCTTACACTTAAAAACGGTCACAAAGGAACCTGTTTATTTTCATTATTATTTATTACATTTTTATTTGCCGTTATTATTGTTTCAAGCAATTATAAAATTATTGGCCATCGTTACAATAATCATTAATCGATTTTATCATCAGTTTCCTGTACTTAAGACTAATTATATTGTAAAAGTTGTTTTTAGAGACCAAGGAGAAAGGGTCCCGTTTCTACATACCTGCATGAACTGTATCTGCTAGATCATATTTAGATGCAATTTTTGGATATTCCTTAAGGTTACGTCCACATAATAATATTTCTCCTGATAACTGAGCTTCCTCGAAAACCCGTTCTAAAGTTCGCGAAATTGATGTCGGGCTCTGGCCGCCCGTCCCGTAAGTGGCCGCCATCTTTCTACCTCCATCTATCATCGCGCATGCTTGCATATTCCAGCCTGGAAATGACATCAGCGAACAAGGGTGCAGCGATTCCCCCTCTCTTACATTTCTTACTAGCTCTTTTCGCCTCTCCTTTTAGAATTCATTGCCTATCGTTTTCTTGCTCTCACTCTTTGTTTCCCCTCCTTCTTTGAAGAAGTTTTATTTTCAAATCCACCCTCTCTTTAAATATCATATTAACGCTCCAACTTTTTACTTCTACCCGCTTTATTATCGAATTTACCCTCCAATTCTTATTTTCTTTCACCCTCTTCTCTCGTTCTCTCTTTTAATTCTTTTTTTTCTCCAACTAGCTATATTTTTATTTTTTGAATTCCTGGTTTTCCATGCTTCCTCTGAGAGAGGAATCCTCGTTATTAAATTTATCTTTACTACTCTTAGTTTTATTATTTTCATTTTCTCATTCCTTTCGTTCGATTCTTACTCTCTTTTACAATATTTACAACTTCCTCGTTCCTAGCTTTTTCTTTCTAAGAATAAGATTTATTTTTTTGTTTAACTGTCAGAACACAGCTGAGTTAGCTTGCTTAGCATTAAAAAAGTTTCATTAATCAACTATTCAACTCTAAATAACGAGAATTGAGATGTACAAAAAGTGAATTTTTAAAATATCTAAAAGTATATGAAAAACAAAAACTTTTACTTATTAACCCAAGCAAAAATATTATAAAGTATTTTTTTCTTTTCAAAGACTTATTTTAAACGCGCATGCGCGTTTTATGCTTTTGAAACTCAATCTTTAACATAAGCGTTTATTGCGCGCGTGCGCACATACACATAACTAACACATACGTACATGTATATATACATATATCTGCATTTATATGATTTTTTTATCATAAAAGATATATACATTCTATTTGTTGATAGAAAAACATTTTAATGGATATATTTCTTACTTCGTAAAAATAAGAAAGTAATATCTATGCTAAGTATAAGAACGTACCACATTTTTCCAAAACTCTATTGCAGAGTTTCTTCAAACACCTGAGAAAAATGCAAGTAGAACTTGGCTTTATCATTTTAAAAAAAGCTATTCATCACATTAAACTATGTAAAAGATAAACAGATTGATATATATATATATATATATATATATATATATATATATATATATAAACAAATGCTGATAGATATGAACTGACTTATATGGATCTTTGCCTTAAATTTAAAATCATACTCTCAATATGAGTGTGTCTACATGTACATATTTATTTATATTTCTTTATTCTGAATGTGCATCTCTATAGATATATGTATACATGTTTTTATGTGTTTCTGCTTGTGCATGTCTATATGGGTGTGTCTTGCTATTTCTGCTCTCGTATACACATTTTATGCTTTGTTTGCATGCAAACTTCATTGAACTTGCAGCTGTCACAATTTTTGAAAAACTAATTTGTTCTCAGCATCATAATTTAAGAGCCAACACTTTTTTCCACCTTATCTCACAAGAATTCATATATGTACACTTGCATGAATATATATATGGCCTGAAGATTATGTTCAGTTCAAGCATGAAACAGACTGTCGCACTCAGTTTTGATCTCAGTATCCACTTTTATATTTATAGATATATATATATATATATTAATGTGTGTATATATATATATATATATATATATATATATATATATATATATTAAACAAGCAATTCTTGATAATAACTTCTTATCCTTTGTAGCACTTAGTAAGCACTTGTCTTTTCACCTTCTCTCCCACTCCCTGTTCTGCCATCTATTTACACAATCTTGTAAGGTAGGTTACTTACTGTTTCCATCTGTCATATTTGCCTTCAATATGCCCCATGAGTGTCAAATTCTTCTAGCTGTCTTTCCACATTATGTATTGTAGAAATTTCAACTCTCTTTCTTATTCTAAATATAAGCCACCTTTTTGTTTCTATTTTCCTTAAAACTTCCTCATTACTCATAGTTTCAATCCATGTTATTCACAACATCCTTCTGTAGAACCACATTTCTGTTACCTCAAATATCTATGAGAAGATTGTCTAGCATTCACTGCCATATTTAATACACAATTCTTGCTAATGACTACAGTGTTGAACAAAGGACTTGGATTTTTAAAAAATGAACTCTGAAAATTTACCAATTTTAATTCTAACCTAAAACAACATAGTTGGAAATTGGAAAAACTTAATAAAAATTGGACAGACAGACCTTGTTGGTAACTGTTTAACAAAACTTGTTTAAAATATATATATATATATATATATATATATATATATATATATATATATATATTATTGACATTTGGAAAAATGTTCATGAAAGTATGTTTCAAAAATAATATCCGATAATGCATTTAACCTAAATATTTTGAACACAATTTTATGGCTTCATCCAAATACATTTTGAATGCAATTGCATGCCTTCAACTATAGATAAAATGTACTGTTTGTCATTTTGATATAAAATGTATTGTTGGTATTTCTACTATAAAATGTACTGCTAGTCATTTCACTTTAAAAATGTATTGCTGGTCATTTTGCTATAAATATATATTGATGGTCATTTTATTATAAATAGATATTGTTGGTAATTTTACTATAAATAGGTATTTTTATACTTTCATAGTGGTTTGTTTTTGTTTGGGGGTTCACTATTTTCCCATAGCTGGGACCTTAATAGGCACTACCACCTCAGAGCAGAGTGGACCTGGGAACAATAGCAATTAAGAGGTGGTTACACAGTCCTCAAAACCTTCAATCTCCTGATCATAGGCCTTGCTGCTAGATGTAGTTTATCATCATACCCAGGACTGGAATGGTTAGTTAAGATGATATATTCATCAATACAATTGGTTATGACTCAACCTAATATAAAGTTACATTATATTTTATAATATAGATTGAATAATTAACAAATATTATTAGTTTTAAACGCCTGTATGATATTTTGCTCTCTTTCTTTCTCTCTCTCTCTCTTTCTCCATGTGTGTGTATGTGTATGTATGTATGTATGTATGTATGTATGTGTGCGTGTGTATGGATATTTATGTATTTATCATTAATACACACTCATGAAGTTCTGTGAACTTCTTTTCCAAATTTTATTTTTTGCTAAATATGCTAATTTTGCTTTTTTTATTTTTGTTTTGTTTTGTTTTTGGTATTCCTGTGACGTTTTATGGCTGACTCATTTCACTCTTTCCTGTTCTTTAATTCAAACTTTCTTTTAATGTGTTATCCTGTAGACAAACCACAAAAGAAATGTTTATTCCGAGTTTTAACAATTTCTATTAAAAATAAAGCAATTGCAGTTTTACACATCTTCCTCTTTCTAACATGCATTCTCTAGATTGTTATGAAACTGGAATTGTAGTTTTAGAGAAAGTTAAAACTTAAAGAAGTTACAGGAAGTTAAAAGTTAATTCTATTCCAGTAAAATTTAATGTTTCCATTTTTTTTTTATTCTATTTTATTTTCCTTTTTCATTCTAATGCATTTCTTTTCCATAAACACTGTTCAAGAAAATTAACTAAATTACTAAATTTATACTTATATGTCTCAACTTCCTGTAATGGGATTAATTTCATATGTGTATATATAAATATATGTCAACAAGCTTAGGCATACAGTACACTTTTATTAACATTTACTTTACAAATCCAACAGTTTTGTTTGTTTTTAAAATTAAGATTGGTACGAAATAATGGAAGTATATTGAACAATGCCAAGCTAGAATTATTTTTTGCTTATTATCAAATATCCTTCTGCTCAACAACTCTTCATGATTATTGGTTGGAGAGGAAATTTAATGATTCTGTACCTATTCTGATTACTAAAATCCATGTGGCTTACCAAAGCCAAAAAATATGTGTATGTATAGAACTCTATTAGACTATTTTAAAACATAATAAATGAAAATAATTCCCAAAATCATGCTTGTAGATAAGTAAAATGAATTCACAATAGCAATGTGTAATTGAATATTTGTTAATATTTCAAGGTTTATTCCCATCATCTTCAGAACAAGTAAAGTTTGTTATTCAAATATTGTTATCTGTAAAATTTTTTCTCGTAGTCATAATTTTCCAAACTTTCAGGAGTAACCTTCTCAATTTTACTTTTGTAATGGAACATAGATACATTTGCAAATATACAGTGTCGAGCAAAAGAAACATGCCACCCTTTGGTAAAAAATCAATTTGCTTAATTTTTACTAAGAAACTGTTAGTATGTAGTCATGTACTTTCAATAGTATTTGTGGTTATTTAAGACTGTAATACAAGTTGTTTTATTCACATGTGCAAGAGAAGATAGACTAGAATGCATCATGATATTGAAAATAAGGCATGGAAAAGTTATGAGCCACTAGACAAAATGTGGAATTTATTGATGCAAATAAAACTAAAAATGCACAAAATGAATTTATTTATATATTTAGAGACATTAAAAGTCACAATCAATATTTAGTATGGCTCCCATGGACATGAACTACAGCTTCAATTTGAACTTAACACAGCATACAACTTAAAAATTGTTTCATCAGTAACGTTCTGCCATTGTTCTTAACAGTAAAGCTAAAGTTCTTGCAAGTTCTTTGGTTTTCTGTTTTACAAATGAGTTTTCAACTTTCTCCACATAGGTTTGATAATGTTAAGCTTTGCTCAGGCCAATCTTGTTACACTGAAAGTGAGAAACCTCTTTGTTACTTGTGATGTGTGGTAAGGTGTTCTATCATGTCGGAATATTTCAGCTTCTACTATATCTGGTAATAGTGATTTTCCAAGCGTATCTTAGATGTGGCACAAGGCCGAAAGTAGGGGGAACCCAATGATGATCGAACTCACAACTCAGTTGTAATCATTTTAACAAGACAAGTTTGCTAACCATTACACAGCCTTCAGGTGCCCAACTATATCTGGTAATAAGTGTGACAAAATAATATATTTTTCCTTTTTGAGCTTTTGATGTAACTCTAAACAATTAAAACCCTACCACTGACTTTTACTCTATTTGTTGT